ATGTGTGTGTGTGTGTACTTGAATTATGGTAGCTGGAACAGGCTTGTCCTACTTGTCAGACCATTCGTTTCCGTGAAGAAAAACTGAGATGAAAGCTTACTTTTTCGTTTAATGACGAGGACTTTATATGCATGAAAATCTTTGAATATACACAACTGAAAAGTGATTAAGATTTGTTTAAAGTTTAGAACACATTAGTTCTTTCAACAAGTCTTGAATACGGCAATAAATTGACAAAGATAACCCTCACCTCTCGCTGACTTGCCAGAGATATCCGACTTTTTTATTTATTCTCAGAGTAAGTGCATAAGGGGGGGGGGGGGGGCTCAATCCTTGCCTTCCCACTTTTGTGCCTGAAAAACTTCCTTTTCCTCAGTCATAAAAATATTGTCAATATCTACTGAAGGATGCGCTTGATTACACACGTTGCTTGCTGCCAGTTGTTAGAAACTAGAGGGAATACTCAATAGCCGCGGCAGTAATTAAATATCAAATCTGTCAACAAATGGAGCTATGAGCTAAAAGTTTGTACATGGAAAAAACAAACAAACTCAGAGCCATTCTATGAGTCGTTATGCCGCGGCTAAAAAAGAACTGAACTAACAAGTTCTATCAAACAACACACTTATTCAGTTTCACTATATCTGTATAGAATCAACATCAGTCATTTACTCTAGCCTAACTTGCGGGTTTATACTCTCAAACTGCTTTAAAGCTTTGAAGAAAATTCAAAATGTTAAGCCATAAGCACATTAAGTGACGTCAGAACTCCGTGAGGCCACAAAGCAATACAACCGTAATAGTTAAAACAACAACAATATTAATATTTCGGTGGTAGGTAAAAAGATTGTGATGGATAAAGCACCTGGAGCACACAAGGTTTTCTCAAGAGTTTTAAAGGAGTCCAAAGATTAGTATGCGAGACTATCTCTTCCATTTTTTGTAGTTCAGTAGACAGTTTTTCGAGGATTGGAAAAACTGCTGATGTTAGATCTATTTTTAAAAGAGGCTATAAGAATTGCCTTATAAATTATTCTCCAGTTAGGCTTACATCTACAGTAGAAAAAATTATAAAAAGTCCGATAAAAGAAGATTTACAAAATAATTTAGTGAAATACGATATCATAAAAGAAAGTCAACATGGATTTGCCAAAGGGAAATCTTAACTTTTTTTTGAAGGTTGTTTCTTGTTATCTGGAAAATGAAAAAATCGTGGCCATAGTGTGATTTTCAAAAAGATTTTGTTAACGTACTTACACAAGATTAGCAAACAAAACAAGAACAATCAGATAGATTGCATACCCTC